GAGTAGAGTAGAGTAGAGTAGAGTAGAGTAGAGTAGAGTAGAGTAGAATAGAATACTTTATTGGCCAAGTGTGGTTGGACACACAAGGAATTTGTCTTGGTGTAAATACTCAGTATAAAGAAAAGATACATTTGTTAAGAATCAAGAGTCATAACATACAACACTTAATGATAGTCATAGGGTACAATCAACAATCAAATCATACTAGGAAACAGTCAATATAAATCGTAAGGATACAGGCGACAAAGTTATAGTCCTACAATCACAAGTGGGAGGGGATGGGTGATGAGGAGTGATGAGAAGATTAACAGTAATAGTAGTGCACACTTTGTAAATAGCTGAACAGTGTTGAGGGAATTATTTGTTTAGCAGAGTGATGGCTTTCGGGGAAAAAATGTTTTTGTGTCTAGTTCTGGTGTGCAGTGCTCTATAGCGTCGTTTTGAGGGAAGGAGTTGACACAGTTTATGTCCAGGATGTGAGGGGTCTGTAAATATTTTCACAGCCCTCTTTTTGACTCGTGCAGTATACAGGCCCTTGATTGACAGCAGGTTGGTAGTAATTGTTTTTTCTGCAGTCCTAATTACTCTCTGAAATCTGTGTCTGTCCTGTTGGGTTGCAGAACCAAACCAGACAGTTACAGAGGTGCAGATGATAGACTCAGTAATTCCTCTGTAGAACTGTATCAGCAGCTCCTTGGGCAGTTTGAGCTTTCTGAGCTGGCGCAGAAAGAACATTCTTTGATGTGCTTTTTTGATGTTTTTGATGTTAGGTGTCCATTTTAGGTCATGTTATATAGTAGAACCTAGAAATTTGAAGGTCTCTACTGTTGATACTGTGTTGTCTAGTATTGTAAGAGGTGGTAGTATGGGAGGGTTTCTTCTAAAGTCTACCACCATTTCTACGGTTTTGAGTGTGTTCAGTTCCAGATTGGTCCAGAGTTACTCCACGAGGCAAGTTGTATTCCTGTCTGTATGCGGATTGATCGTGCAGACAACAGTAAGGAGAGTCAGCATTAGTTTTCCCTCTTGTAAAAATCTAGTGGGAGAATGATGGTATGCCTGAAGATAGCAAGAGTATGTGACTGAGAAAACATTCTTAGCTGCTGGGTTTTTTTTTTTAGTTTCAGATTAGCTTGTAATAGTTTCCTATTGCTGAAAGGTACAAAATAAATATGACAGTTGATCATAGTAGTATTGTATGCACTGATTTCAAAATAAACATTAAAATGTAGCTTGGTGATTTCTGAAGTAAACATCAAATTTATTTTAGAATTTCAAACAAAGGATACTGAAAATAGTTAAGATACTGAAAATAGCTGCACACATGGGTATTTAACACATGTTCCACATAATACAATAGATTGTTTACTTAAACTATTTTTCTTTTGTCTTAAGGTGCTACAAATCCATACACTGAGGCAAACTACAAACCTACTTTTCTTTCAGATGATGAATTGAAGCATTTAATTCTTAGGGTATGTATAAGCTTCAGATACATGAATGTGTGTAAGGGGCGGTGAAAGAGAAGGTTTTCTTTTATCAGACACACTAACTGCAGTTTCTTTCAAAGTAACAGGTGGATGTTCTAAGCAAAAACTTTGGTCCCCTTTTTATTGGTTGTCTTTTCAGGGCAAATTATTTAGAGTTTGTTTTCAAAGGATGTGGGGCAAGCAAAGCAATCCTACTTGAAGTGTCGTGTCAGTTAAATTTAACAGATTCTGAATTATATGATACTTTTTAATCCCTGCTGTGCTATACACATTTTCAAATTATTTGAAATGAGTGCTTTAGAATAGATGCAGTACCTCTCCTCTCCTCTCCTCATTAACAAGCAATCTAATTATTTTGGTGAGTAGTAGAATGGATGCTGCACTTGCCCTAGTTCCAAAAGACCTCTTTGAAACCTTTTTCAAAGTCTGTGTCAATGTTCTGTTTCCCATTTACTTTATTGGCTACTAATTTAAAGTCCCACATTACTGTAACATCTATAATGCTCTTGTTTTAGCATGTTAGTGTTAATACAGTTTGCTTTTTTAAAAAAACATCATAAACAGAGGTGCACAGCAGCCATCCTCAAAGGTTAAGGCAGCCAAACACACAGAGATCATTTTGGACCTTTGAATTTGCCTAACAGCAATAATGCATTGATTGCATTTTATAGGTAATCCTTTACTTATGATCAGTTGTTTAGTGACTGTTCGAAGTTACGGTGGATTTCTCCAGAAACAAACTGGATTCAAAGTTCTGATGGCCATGCTCCCACCCCCGCAGTCATATGATCGTATTTTGGGCACTTGGCAGCTAGCCTGCATTTATCGATGTTTGCAGGATCTTGTCATGTGACCATGATTTATAATGTTTTTTTTTAAACTGGAAACTGGTATTTATCTCCAATTTCCAGCAAAAAACAGCCATTGTGGACAACATATTTGCATAATGACCGTGATGATTCATTCAACAGCTGCAGCAAAAGTCATAAATCAGGCTGTCATCGTGGTGATTCACTTAACGGCCAGTATAACTTGCAACCCTAATTCCAGGCTTAATTTACAGTCATAATATATAAACTTGTAATTTTGTTTTCATATGATCAATATTGCTGTCTTTGCTTTCTAAAGGGGTAAGCACCTTTTATTCTGTAATGGAAGCTTGATCAGATCTTCCTAATAAGATATCAGTTAAAGGTGATCTGTTGAACTACCATATTCTTTAGCCAGCGAGCTCAACAACTTTGATGACTGGTATTGATGGGCCACTAACATATAACAAATATGGAAAGGGCTAGGTTGGAAAAAAATCAGTAAATCCCTTAGCAGGTCCACAGAGAACAGACTTTAGGTTTATTTGAAGCATAGTTGCATTGTTGTGCTTTCATTCTGTGATCCTGGTATATAATGTGTTCCAAAACATGGAGAATTGACAGTTCACAAAAGTAATGTGAATTAAAGTAACCACCTTCTAAAACATACTTTTTCCCCCTCTCTGTAAACAGATCCTGCCAGCAATTAAAATCAGGCATTTTGCCTTCTGTGTTTCTGTGGCTTTTCCAAACACACATTGGAACTACTTCTGGCAGCTTCTAATCTGCAAAGCTTTATAACAGAAAGAGCAGAAAGAATGAATTGCTTAATCTTCTTCTTATAAAGACAATAACAAAAATATTTCCCCATGGGAGCCTTAAAAAAGACAGAAAAACTATTTTTGCTCTTTCATTTTTAAATCAATATATTTAAAGGTCACTGGATTATACATTTTTAATTAGATATTTAGCTATGACATGTGATACTGCTTTTTTGTTTTTAGCGCTGCTGAGACAGTAAAAAAGTGCGATGATCTACTTTAGCATTTTATTATGCGTTAATCTTGTTCTCTTCAGAGAAAACACAGTGTAATTGAGTTGCACAGTTATAATTAATTTCAAAAATATGTAAATAAGACATAACAATTATTTTTTGCATACCGTTAGGCAGCAGATGGCTTTCTCTTCGTTGTGGGTTGTGACAGAGGGAAGATCCTCTTTGTTTCAGAATCGGTCTTCAAAATCCTCAATTATAGTCAGGTATTATTATTATTTTTGCCTATTGAATGATTTGGGAGAAACAAAATAGACGAAGCAGAAATAAAATATTTGAAAAAATTGGAAATCGAAAATACTGTTGAACTAGTTACTCTATGAGTGAGATGGAAGGTTCTATATCACCTGCCTATCTATCTATCTATCTATCTATCTATCTATCTGGAGAAATGTTGAAACTTACAGTTTAGCAACATCTGGAATATCACTCTAATGATGCATATAATCAACTGTGTGCTTAAAGAATCACAATTGTCTCTATTTTATGGTTGAAAAGACTTTTAGCAAACATAAGACAGGGTTATTCTTCCAGATGATTCCCTGTGGTTGGTTATTAGTTTGTTGGCTTTGGGGTTTTTTTTGTTGATAACTGTTTTTGGTCAGCTGTCTTTTCTTCTTGATATATTTTGTTTCTTTTCATCACTATGGCCCTCAAAATTGAAAGAATAAAAATCAGGTAAATAAATCAGCCTATTCTTGGAAATACTAAGCAATCCTATTTTATTTTCCCACCACTTTGAATATCAATAAACTTAATGAAACCAATGCTTTTCTTTGCTGAAAACATCATAGGCAATTATAATGACTTTGCTAGTTGTATGTATTTTCTATTGATAGAATGATCTGATTGGCCAAAGCCTGTTTGATTACCTACATCCTAAAGATATTGCCAAAGTTAAGGAGCAACTCTCTTCTTCAGATACTGCCCCACGGGAAAGGCTCATAGATGCAAAAAGTGAGTACTTGGGGAGTTTATCCAATGTTTATTTCATTTTTATTTTATTTGGGAATAGCACAGAATAAAATGCTTTATAACAGTAAATAGCTTTTTTTTTAAAAAAAAAGGTTTTGTTTTCTAATTTTAAAAGACTGTAGATGGTCATTTAATATATCAATATTATATTATGATACCTATAGTTTTAAAGTTGTTATTAGTTATCAGATGTAAAGTTGATATAGCTCAGGGGTATCAAACCTGAGGCCTGTGGGCGCTTAGATCTGGCCTGCAAGGCTATCCTGGAAACAGCAAAGACCAGCCCACAGTGCCTCTGCCAGCAGAAACGGAGCTCAGGAGAGCTGCAGGAGGCCCTCCCGAGCTCCATTGTCACTGGCAGAGTGTTGCAGGAGGCCGTTGCAGCCGAAAACAGAGCTCGGGAGCCCATTTTCACTGAAAGAGCGCTTGGGCCACCACAGGTGCTCCCTGACATAAACGACGAACTGGCCATGCCCCCCCCCCCCCCCCCAGGTTGCTTAAACATTGAAGTTAAAAACAGCAATTAAAAACAATAGAGACAACAAACTAAGAACTAGAATACATTCCATACAGGGGGAAGGTAACAAATTCCCAAGGATAAAAAAAAGGAAACAGACAAAAAAGCACTAGGAAGTGGGTGGCTTTATCCTACATCAGGACCTGCTGAAAGAGATTTCAAGTTTTTTCATAGTTCAAAAGTTTGACCAGGTGAGACCATGTGGATTTGAGTACACTGTTCCATAGAGTAGCCCAGCTGCAGACAAGGAACATTTTATAGGTCCTACAAGATGACAGTACTTTAGATTTACTTATAATTTAATGTATTAAAACTGACAGCCATTCAGATATTTCAAGAAAGTTTCAAAGATATGCTTATTCAATCTTAGCATATCCACTCACTTTCATTTTCATTCAATCAGCAGATGACTTTTCCATAATATTGATAATTTTTGTTGCCATCTCTATTTGTCATTCACCTGAAAGCATATTGCATTGAACTGTGCCCTTGAACACCCCCCCTTGACTCTTAGCGTCCCCCTGCCAGCCCCCTTGCCTCTTAGCGCCCCCCTAAGGCATCCCACCGCCCCCAGGCGGCGGTACCGCCCACTTTGGGAACCACTGACCTAGATACTTATTCTGGTACTCTTTATTTATACATAACCTTAATTTTCTTTCTAATGAATTCCATTTCTGAATTTCAAATCTACTTTTTTCTTTTCTCCTTGGTCTTTCCAATTATCTCCTCTGTAAATTGGAGAATGAACCTCTTCATCTAGTCACTGCATTTATTGGTACTATGTTGAAGATCAATCGGGCTAGGACAGGGATCAATAGGTTGTTGGGATTTTTTTGTTTTTGTTTCCCATTAAAATGTAACACCTAACTCAGACTAAACATAAGAAAAGTTTGTAGACTTGAAAAACAAAGCTTGGATCAGACATACTCAACAGTTTGGAATTAATGCTTTTTCTCTTCATGTAGCTGGACTTCCAGTCAAAACGGATATTACACCTGGACCATCACGGCTCTGTTCTGGAGCAAGACGATCATTCTTTTGTAGGATGAAATGCAACAGACCCTCAGTGAAAGTAGAAGACAAAGACTTTCCTTCTACCTGCTCTAAAAAGAAAGGTATTATAAAGATTTAAGTAGCATTAGGTGATGAAAGTTGTATATAAAGTAGGATAAAAAGCTATTTTTTTACAGTCTCAGACAACTAATCTTCAGACCACTGAATCCAGTAAAATCAAAATTATTTGGCGTTATATAAAAATGGGAATAAACTTCTTGTTGTGGTTTATGCAAGCCTGCATATTGAATGAAGAAAAGCTGTTGGGGAAAAATGTTTTCTTTAGTGTCCTAGGAAAACATCTTTCAAATGATATGTATTAAGAATAAAATACCAACTTACTAAAAATTAAAAAATAGAATATAACTCTGTAATGTTTATTTGAATGGCAGGATAACAAGTTTTCCTTGCTGATATGGTTTAAAAAACATTAGGTTTATGAATAAAACTTAAAGTTATCTCAGTTTAAACTCACATACTGAATTAAAGAATAGATATAACTTGTAGTTTGTTTTTTAAGTAAAATAATGTCATTTAAAACACAAAATGCAAAGCAGGTGAAAATGATATAAAAATAGGATTCAATTTAAAAATATGTGGACTACAAAACCCATTTGCTACATCTTCATTATAGAGAATGATGAAGAGATAGGTTTTCAACAGGCATCTAAAAATATTGCTGTTGGTAGCTCACAAATCATGTAGAGAAGGCATTCCAAAGTGAAGGCAGTATGCTGAGAATGCCTGATAACAGTATATGACACTGTGATTCTGGACACAGTCAAGAAGTCCTCCCCGTTCAATTTTAGCAATTGATTTCCTAGGGCAATCTGTCAACTATCATGGTTTATTCCTGGCTTCAGAACAATATAGCACGTCTGTGGCCACCAAATCAAATGTAAGGGCAGTGCTGATTAAATTTTATTTTGTTTGTATCTTTCTTTCTTCGAGTTAGTGTTGGCTTTTGGCAACTATCTGAACTAGTTTTACCATTGCTCTCTTCCTATAGACCCCTATCTCTGCCTCCAGTTATTGGTTTACAACATGCAGTTTCTCTTGATTCCAATCTGTGAGTGTATTTGTTTCCTCATTTATTTAACCTTATTTTGTTTTGTAGCAGATCGCAAAAGCTTTTGTACTATCCACAGCACAGGATATTTAAAAAGCTGGCCACCAACAAAGATGGGACTAGATGAAGACAACGAGCCTGATAATGAAGGCTGTAACTTAAGTTGTCTTGTTGCAATTGGACGTTTGCATCCTCACGTAGTTCCTCAACCATTAAATGGAGAAATCAGGGTTAAACCAACAGAATATGTTTCTCGACATGCAATTGATGGCAAATTTGTATTTGTAGATCAGAGGTAAGAACAGCATTTAAGTCTTGCTTTGAAGATAACAGTTCTTATCCTTTTGAGACGTCCGTAGGTGGCTTGTTTGAAGAAACAGTAATGTTTGTATGATGATGAGCAAATTGTAAAACAGTTCAGCACTTATAAATATATATGAATTGAGTATCCTAATTTGTTCACTCTTTGTAAGATAAAATGCAAACTTGAAAAAAAATGCTTAAGAATATTGACAATTGGCTGAATGATGACAGTGGTAACGTCTGAATGGAAATACTGGCACAATTCACATTATTTCCTTTCTGTGCTGAAGTGAACTTTGAATTACCTTCCCCTGCCCAACTCTCAACATAGTACAAGAAGCAAATGTGAGGATATCATTTCACAGTTCAGCATCAGCTGACACAGGCCTAATCACAGGAATCATGAGAGGTCTCTGCCTAGAGATACAAGTACACAGTCCTCAATTAGATTGTAAAAATACTCTTGATAGATTTTTAAAAATGCTTCCTTTGATATCTGTTGCTCTATAATTATGTAGGAAAGAGTAAAAGGTTCTATTAATGAGCTTATTTTACTTTTCTAAAGGGAAAAGCAAAGGAAATTAATCAAAATGCAGGGGGATACTGAACTTATTGCATCAGCTATAATTATTTTTCAACAGTTGTATTAAGCCAACTAATAGTTGTATTAAGCCAATGCCAGATGTATTGCTGAGAGCAATGGAACTGGTATTTTATGTATATGTTAATAAAAAGCAAAATAAAAAATATTGTATGTCAGTATATGCAACCTAACTCTAGATTGGCAGAAGCTGAGGTTATTTTGAAGAAAGGTGTGTGTATATATATTGGGAGGGAAGGTGATTTAAAATCTCATTGACAAGAACACTTATTTCAAAGGTCTCCAATAATTAATTACAGTAGGTTGTCATCAGTCAGGCTGAAATTCTGGGCTCTTTCTCTAAGAACTTCTCTTTCCAATGCAAAAGTAGAGAGAAAGATGCTTTGGATTGTCCCACCCAAAATCCAGAAAATACAAAACACAAGGGATAGCTATGAGTAACTACTTTGCATTTCTCATGAGGAAGCTTTTAATGAGCATTTTTTATTAAATCAATGAAATTCCAGTGTTTAAACCAATCCAAAATAAATAAAAGTTTTATTGAGGTAAAGGAGAACAAATGAAAGTAACATTCTCATAACCAAGGAATTCCAGTTAAAATCAGTGTAGTCAGCCTAGCTAAACCAGTTACTTGGGTTTTGGCATATGTGCACAATTCACTGCTCAGAGAATGCTTACAGATTATTGGTATTTTCTGCTTAGTTGTTGCTAGACAGACCTTTCTACCCTAATACTTTTTGAACTTTTCTCAGCTTTTAGAATATGGAGGGCAAGTAGAAGCCATGCTTAGCTTTCTCCAGTCAAGCAAAATGCTCCTAGATCAAATCAGCAAATTAGAAAATCTTCCTAATGACCCCTTGTTGAATGATAAAGTGGCAGATTAATTCTACCAGATTATAGTGATTGGTTATGTGTGAGGAAATGAAAAGCCAATTTTTCTTAGTCAGGTTTTTCAAGATGGGATCCAATTACAAGTGCTCTAGGCATATGCTTTTTTCATGCTGGCATTTCCACATCTATAGTTGTATAATGGGATATAACTGTTTTATGTCTTTGCTATGAATGATTTTGGTGTATTGTCATAACATAATAAAGATACATCTTAGGATAAATTTCTGTGTATAAAATACTAGTTTAAGTTTAAAACTCTTTTAAATGTTGTCATAAAATTCTTGCTTTTACCATGAAATGACATAAACATGAATGTTGGTTCATTTTGGAGCCCTTCCTCTCATAACTCATGTGTTGTGTAGGAATTCCTTGTACTATGTTGCATTGTACTATGATGCAAAGCAGAGCCTCTCTCACTATATATCAATGGAGACTGTGTGGAAAGAGTTCATAGTTTTAAATTTCTAGGAACTCATATTTCCGACAACCTTACTTGGTCAGTCCACACTATGGCCACTGGAAAGAAGGCCCAACAGCACCTGCACTTTCTGAGGTTGCTGAAAAAAAGTGGCTTGGGTGAGAAGTTGCTAGTTACTTTTTACCGGTCTACCATCAAGAGCATTTTGGCATACTGTGTAACGGTGTGGTATGCTGCATGCTCTGCAGTGGATAAGAAGATGCTCCAGAGAGTTATAAACACAGCACAAAAAATCATTGGTTGCTCTCTTTCTTCTTTGGAAGAGATTGTGAAGACCAGACTCCTCTCTAGAACACTAAAAATCCCCACAGACCATTCCCATCCTGGACATTCATATTTCAGTCTGTTACCATCAGGGAGGCGTTATAGATGTCTTAAAATGAGGACTAATAGATTGAGAAACGGTTTCTTTTCCAAGGCAGTAATTGTCTTGAATCAAACAGTGCATTTATTATTATTATTATTATTATTATTGTTGTTGTTGTTGTTGTTGTTGTTGTTGTTATTTTAAAACTCTGTAGTGTGATTGTGATGTGGTGTTTGGGGCACTGTGCTGGAGTAGCTTTCAAATTTCATTGTATTTGTGGAATGCAATGACAATAAAGGTATTCTATTCTATTTTATATTTTAAAATTTATGTATACTGCAGAATTGGGTGAACTTTAGGTTATTAATATTTTCAACTATATAAATCTTATATGTGATTTTTTTTTAAAAAAAGAAATATATCGACATTTATCATAGTGTTCATATGTATATTGGGTGGTGGTATATTATACCACCAATATTGTGCAAGTTTAATGGCAGACAAATGTTTATTTAAAATTTATATAATTGTATAAGTAATTCTCTTTTTTTAGGATGACAGGTTAAAAATACTTGGTAACATTTATTGGAATGTTCTGAAATATAGTTGCTAAAAATTGGTATCTAAAGTTTTAGTCGTAGAATATTCTTGCCAAAATAATATTTGCTTATAAAAATGTCCAATATAATGGCAACAAAGAAGGCATTATTACTAATAGCAAAATATAGCATGCAAATTAAAGATGGGGAAACACATTTCAGGCATATGTACAAAGCACTATTAAGTATATAATACTTAGTAATACACACACATGTATTTTATACACACACACACACACACACACACACTTTTATATTATGTTGCATGGATTATCTTGATAATTTTAAATTTATCAATAACCAAACCCCAATCCACAGTTACATATTTCAATATATTTTAAGTTGTGTATATATTCCATCACATCTGTGTGAGGGCACATTTTATGCTTGTGTATGTGTTTGTGTAGCTCAGTTTTTAACTGTTTTTTGTGTTGTCTGAAATGGTTCTCATTTTGAGCTGTAAGCACCATCATTTGTATTTGTTTATAGAGAAGACTTTGAGTTCTATATAATTGAACTCCCAATTTTGAGTTTTCATTTCAAAAATAGTGAGAAGTTAGTTGTATTTGGATTTTTATCTTCTACTTGCAGTTTGATTTTCTTCAGGGATAACTCATAATAATGTATGACTTCATGTTGGGTCATAACAAATTGGGTATATTAAAGAATTGTTGATTTCCTTGTGGACTATAGCAGAGGTCTCCAAACGTGGCAACTTTAAGACTTGTGGACTTTAAGTCTTAAAGTTGCCACAAGTCTTAAAGTTGCCACGTTTGGGGACCTTTGGACGATAGCATAACAGTAACAGCCTAATTTATCAACATTGTCTAACATATCAAGTTTTGAAGAAGTCGCATCCTGATTTCTGTAATTATGTGTCTCTTAAAAATACCAGAAAATAGAAAATTGGTTTTCTTTCTACTTTTACACTAATTTCTACGTAATTAATTAGAAACACTGAAGCATTTGTCTGTTTTAGGGCAACTGCAATTTTGGCATATTTACCACAGGAGCTTCTAGGCACATCGTGTTACGAATATTTTCATCAAGATGATATAGGACATCTTGCAGAATGTCATCGACAAGGTAAAATGTTATCTGTGAAGTAGCCAAATGGTTCAGATTTTTTCCCTAGATCAAGAAAAATGATCTAGGGACCTTGGAAAAAAATTAACATTATCATTGTACATGCACATACTACACACAAGAAAATTGTACAAGCCTGATCCTTTTTGTCTTTTTTTCAGTTTTACAGTCAAGAGAGAAAATTAGTACTAATTGTTACAAGTTTAAAGTCAAAGATGGATCTTTTATTACACTGAGGAGTTGTTGGTTCAGTTTCATGAACCCTTGGACCAAAGAAGTAGAATATATTGTCTCAACGAACACAGTGGTTTCGTAAGTATTTTTCTTTTCTTGTGGAAAAAAATACAATTGACTCTGCTTTCCATGTATCGAGGAAGGGATACATCAAGTGTTAGTTAAATTTGATAAGAATTGCAACAATTGATATGTTGCAAGGTAATGAAGTTGACAGAAAAAAATAAGTATTTTGCTATGCTAAATAATTAGTAACATAAAATGATACATTTATGTTTCTTCTGAATTCCCAGTGCTAATATGCTTGATGGTGAAGATACGTCTTTTCCACAACTAGCAGCTTCACCTCACAGCATGGATAGCGTACTCCAAGCAGGGGAAGGTAACTGGAAAACTGTAACAAACTTCTTTGGATTTGTTTCATTGAATTCAGTGCAATTTGAAATGCACTTGGTATGTGTTTCAAGTCTGTAACTGCATGTTCCTTCTACATCACATTCAAGCTGAAGAAATGTCAAGGAGGTGAAAATTTAAAGAGCAAAGAAATGTCAAGAACATCGATCAATGAGGATGACAGTCCAAATTAATCCCTAATCTAAAAATAAACATAACAAATTATTTGGAGTATAATGTCAGGGTTATGAGTGTTTTCCACCAAAATCTCCATGCTAACTTATACAAAATCCTCATGCTATCTTATATTATACAGAATCCTCATGCTCATGTCTTATATTATACAAGTATCCTTTTTCTTTAGCACATAATGAAATTAAATGCATGATGGATAGAACCATTATTTAGGCTCCATATTTACATTCTAGTTTTATTATTTTTAATAAATAACTCAAGGAGATGAACATACATAAGACTTCCTCCTCCTCCTATTTTCCCCACACCAACAGCGTTATGTGGTGGGCTGGTCTGAGAGACAATGATTGGCCCAAAGCCGCCAGCTGGTTTTCATGTCTAAGGCAGAATGAGAACTTAGTCTCCCAGTTTTTAGGGTGGTGCCTTAACCACTAGACCAAACTTCGCTACAGACTTTTGACAGAAGGAAAAACATACATGCTGTTCTTGCCTACACATAAACAGAGATATAGATTAGCAGATTTTCTCTCTCTGGATTCAGCAATATTCTAGATTCTCTGGAAAAAGAACTTGAAACATCTCCCTGGCCCAGAATCGTTTGTGAATATGCAAAAACCTATTGTAGGAGATTTCGTTCTAACAGTAACCTTCAACAGTATACTAACAGCAGATAGTGGAAATAGTTCTCTCTTTTTCCCTTTCTATGCTAAGATCCTTTAGTAGACCGATAACTATTGTTTCTTTAATAACCAAGGAAGCTTCAGTGTAAGAAGTTAGCTAGGAACCTAGAGATGTTTTAAGCATCTGTCCAAGTGGCTGCCTTTGTATTAATATTGTTAATAGTTATATTCTATATTCCTGTGTTATTGGTTAAGTCTAATACATAGTGATTCAGATTATTTCCAAAAATGGTTTCTCAATCTGACCCAAGAGTTCAGTTCTGTAGCCTCCCAGGAAGTACTGTCTTAAGTTAGCAGCTTGTTGATACAGTAACAAAAACTTGAGATTCAAAGCACGTTTTTACTAGTAATTATGGATTATCTGCTGTTTCAGGCAACTGAATCATAGTATTCCAAAACTTAACATTGCCCATTTTGTACTTGCTTATATAAAATGGCTGGGCGTGTTTAAATATATATGTTGGGTTATATGATGATTTCGAATCAAGTGAAGTAGCCTCTACAACATCATATTGAAAGAGGAGCAGACATTTTTCCCAAATGTAACCGAGCTATTTGGAGTTGCTGAAGAATTTAAAGAGTGTACCTAGTATGTAGGTATATGAGAAGATAGCCAAGAAAATTGTGTTTTGAAGGAGATTTTTGAACGTAATTGTGGTCAATAAGCTTGCATTTCTCATACAATGTATCTATCTTGATAACAGAGCTGCTGAAAGTTCTCCATCTTCAGTGATTTCCTCCTATGAGAGGCTTGCAATACCATATAAACATATTGTGAAATGCAGTAAATGGCTAAAAAAGCCCATTAAATGACTTTATATCCCAGGGCAGTCTTTTAAATCCCATGTAGCAGGGCTACTTTTTTAATGGGCACTTAACCTCTCATAAGTACACCAGGGGTTACCTACAAAAAGTGGTAGCTTAAAAAAAAAGAAATATTTCATTTCTTTGCCATTTAATGAAAATTGAATACCGTTAACCTAAGAGTTGCAGCAGGAAGTAAAGAATTACTTCTTTTCAACAGGTAGAAGGACTTTTATCCCTGGAAAAACATAATCTGAGTTTTGAAAGAGATTTCTCCTATGATGAAAAAGATCATACATAAAAATGCATTCAACTGCTCTCAAGAATCAAGATTGATAGGATCATGCCAGTGACCGTGAAATATATTAAAATCACATTTTAGGCATTAAAGCATACAGTGCCTTGCTCTTTGTGTAATGTTAGAGCAACTTTACTGCATTGAAATTAATGTTTAGTTAAGATGAGACTGGAAGCAAAGGAAACAAAAAAGAAATTATAATAGAATTACTACAATTGCAAAGGGTATGTGAAGTGTAGAGGTGCAAGTGCAGGTAATCCTCAACTTACAACTATTTGTTTAGTGACTGTTCAAAGTTACAATAGCATTGAGAAGAGTGATTTATGATTGTTTTTCACATTTATAACCATTGCTGCATCCCGGTGGTTATGTGATCAAAATTCAAACGCTTGGCAACTGGCATGCCATGTCCTGGGGTCATTTGATCATCTTTTGTGATCCGACAAAGTCAATGGGGAACCCAAATTCACTTAACAATTAACTGTGGCAAGAAAGTTCGTAAAATGGGGCAAAATTCACCTGACATCTTGTTTAGCAGTGGAAATTTTGAACTTGATTATGGTCGTAAGTCAAGGACTACCTAGATTCAGAATAAATGTGTAAATTGCAGGTATATATTAATTTGTGTGTCTTTTTTCTTTCCCTTTTATTTAATTGCATTTACATCTTTTTAAGGTGGTCCAAAAAGGGCCCTTCCCACAGTTCCTGGTATTCCAGGTGGAACAAGAGCTGGTGCTGGTAAAATTGGAAGAATGATTGCTGAAGAAATAATGGAGATCCATAGGTAAGGAAAAGCTCATATTTTAAGATTATTAAGTATATGTTTCTCAATTTGTTAGGGAAAGTTCTATTTCATTCCTATTTTTAATATCTTCTTTTCACAGAAACATGGGTTATAAATCCAATAAATTGATTTTTAAATAGGCTGGTCAGTTGTTTTCTTTCAAGGCATAACTGTTTGTATGTTTCTTTGTATAGTGAAGTATTTTAGCATGGTTTATCCACAATAAGTACATGGTAATTGTGAAAGAAGTTTAATAAAATAACCTAACTTAGTTCCCAAGATTAAGATGAACAATAGTCAGCATATAGTCTTCCAAATAGCCATAGCACTTAGACTTATATACTGCTTCACAGTGCTTTACAGCCCTCCCTAAGCGGTTTACAGGGTCAGCATATTGCTCCAAACAATCCAAGTCCTCGTTTTACAAATCTCGGATGAAGGATGAATCAACCTTGAGCCTGGTGAGATTTGAACTGCCAAATCGCAGGCAGCTGGCAGGCCACAGAAGTAGCCTGCAGTACTGCATTCTAATCAGTGCGCCACTGTGGCTCATAGTCATAGTAATCGCAGATAAGCAAAATAGACTGAACTTGTGGAAATGTAGTTTCTTTGCCAATTTTATTTCCCTTTTGCCATATCTAGGCATATACAGTACAATAGCAAATTGGAGCCATATTCCTTAGGAGATAAAAATCAAAAACTTAATCCTAAAACCTGACAAGAATGCTGTGACTATGAATGTGAGGAAGGACCATGCAGCCTAGGAACTGAGATTAGGATTTACTGGAATATTTTATAAATATAATTTACTAAAAAGAATTTCTTAAATGTGTTTAAACTCCAAAACTTAGCACACATACAGGGTTTCAGATTATAATGTTGAGGTGGTTGATAATATGTCCTCCTAAAAAAAATGACTTTCTTTTTTTATACCTTTTGTAATTTGGCTGTCATTTGTGTAACAGGATACGTGGATCTTCCCCTTCAAGTTGTGGCTCTAGCCCATTGAACATGACCAGCACACCTCCCCCTGACACGTCATCGCCAGGAGGAAAAAAGGTGAGATGGGAAAATTTTAAAGAGTTTTTTTTTAAAGCTATGTTGTCAGACTTCACCATATAAATTAATTCAAACTGTTGTAACAAATCTGTAAAGTGAATGTATTGCAGCATTTACAATCTGTTGAAATAGATCAGGGGTGTCAAACTGGCATTGTCATGACAGCGTCACGTGACGTATCACGACTTTTTCTCCTTTGCTAAACCGGGTGTGGGTGTGGCTAGCGCATGACACATCTGGCCCATGGGCCACAAGTTTGACAGCCCCTGAAATAGATGATAGATTGGCATAATAATATAATAATTCTAAGTGCCATTTTAAAAAGTTGTTTAAAGGATTTTTAAATACACAAAATATGAACCCATATATATCTATATAAATCGATCTATTAAGTTTAAACACTGAAAGCTTCAGAATTCAACCTATAGCAGAAATTTGATCATCATTCAAAAGAATCAAAACTGCTTTCATATTATAAAATTACCTGTACTGATAAATGCTTACTATAGAAATAATGTTTCCTTATTGACCAATGCTTCAATAATACAAATTTAAGAACCATTAAACTGATTTATAATGACAAGTACTCATGCACAAATTTGAAGAGCTTATTAAATACACTTGAGGTAGGATCCTAAGTACATTTTGGTTAATGGCATCCTGGCTCTGAGTAGAAACAATGTGTAATTATTGATCATCTTACAATATTTTCTTTGTAGGTATCATTAAAGATCTCTGTGGCAGAGATCCAGAAAACTGGAGCTGTGGATCTATCAATTTCTTATTAAATGTTCAATGGAACCAGATATAGATATTTATAGTGTACAAGATGCCTATGAACTAGAGTGCCTAACATTGTAAAAATAAGTTTTTCAGTTATTGCTCACTGCTGTGTGATTATGTGTGACTATAAAGCTACTTGTATTTTATCATCGAAAATTTACTAATATATTTCAATGTATCCCTGCATTAAATGAAATCTAAAGTAAAAAAAAAAGGAAGGGCAAAATATAGCAAAGTGTACCACTTTCCATCACCTAATTGCATTTTATTTATTTTTTATTTCTATGATCACCCATTTCACCAAATGTGACTCTGGGCAGTATACAATAAAAAAAACCCAAAACTATAAAATATAGGTAGTCCCTCTACTTATGACCACAACTGAGCCCAACATTTCTGTTGCTAAGCATGACAGTTGTTAAGAAGTGAGTTTTGCTCCATTTTACGACTTTTCTTGCCACAGTTGTAAAGTGAATCACTGCAGTTGTTAAATTAGTAACATGGCTGAATCTGGCTTCCCTGTTGATTTTGCTTGGCAGGTCACAAAAGGTAATCACAAGACCCCAGGACACTGCAACCTTCATAAATGAGTCAGTTGCCAAGTGTCTGAATTTTGATCCCATGACTATGGAGATGCTGCAACAGTCGTTAAGTGTGAAAAATGCTCATAAGTCACTTTTTTCAGTGCCGTTGTAACTTCGGTCACTACATGAATGGTTTAAAGTCAAGGGCTACCTGCAGTAATATGAAAAATAAATAATAATTTAAAAAACATTAATATTATTAAATGACAGTCTTTTAATATTGTGATTAAAACAATATCTTAATACATATCCATGCAGTTCTAAAACAGAGACCAAGCTTTTTCAGCATACTGCTATTTTGTTACTTTTTATTTTGTGCCTTGAGAGCAGCAACTGGCATGTCTCATGACATCGATATCACTCAATGTAGATGTAGATTTTTTTTAACCTGAATTTCTTGAATTATTTCAAAAGGGGAAGGGATATTAGATATTAAATAGCAATAGTACTTAGACTGATACACAGCTTCACAGTGCTTTACAGCCCTCTCTAAGCAGTTTATAGAGTCAGCCTCTTGCCCCCAACAATCTGGGTCCCCATTTTACCCACCTCGGAGGGATGGAAGACTAAGTCCACCTTGAGTTGGTGAGATTCAAACTGCCAAACTGTGTGTCTTAGTCATGCAGGTTATTAATGACAGTTTTTGATAAGGAAAATAATCACATGGGATTTTTCACATGAAATGGTTCTTACTGGGAAGCACAGGGTGTAGCTAAGATTCACCAACATTTGGTTCCCAAGTTAAAAATCTCTAGAATGATTATAATTATAGCAGTAATGAAAGTAACATAGGAAGATACGTATTGTGTCTGAGAAGGATTTCTTTGTCACTAAGTTGACGGGGTAAACGTACAAAGCAAATTATTGAGGAAGTTGCATGGCTATATAATGTAGATTAAATTTTATGTATAGAAATATACTGACATTACCATTTATAGATTTCGTTGGAGTTAAGTTTATGCTAGACTTTTATAGCTTCCAGCAAGATCAAATGTGTAAAATAGGCTGAATATAAAGCCTTTTATTTTGTTTTCATTTTTTTTTTTTCAGATTTTGAATGGTGGAACACAAGACATTCCTCCTGCCAGTATATTGCCTGGCCAGATACAAGACAATCCGGTCTATCCATATTCTGACAACAACGCCATTCTTGGTAGGCCAATTCATGAAAGACAGAAGATTAAAATGTATAGCTGGGCGAAATCCTTAAGGGTGAATCCTGCCATGGAATGAATAGAATTTCTAAGGAAAGATATATAAAATTAAAATATGAGCATATTGTAAAATGTGATGTTGTATTTAATAAAGCCCTGGAGTTTTGGAGGATCATTTTGTTCAAAGATCTTTTTAGTTTAGCTCCAACATTATTTCTTAAAAGAAATCCTACAACTTTGGTAGCATACTAGTCATTTTCCAAGTTACTGTTGAAAAACATAAGATTAATATCTTAAATATTCCTATTTAGAATATTTTATATTGATATTTTATAATGATATTTAATAAAAATAGGTTAATTTTTTTTTCAATTTCAATCTATCTCATCTTCCAGAAAAATTCTTAAGACAGTCTAAACATTAGCTAGCAGTATTTTATCCCAATTTTAATTATTTATACAATAATGTGATCGATTACATAATACTATATGGACGTTTCATTTTATTGTACATTTGACAGAGATAAAGTCAGCTATCAAATAAGAGAGTTCATAATATATGCAGTTACTCTTAACATTGCTCTCAACCACACTGTATACTTTTCAAAGTATGATCATTAGCTTAGAAATAGAATTAATGGTAACATTTAATTTTTCTGTTCTCTTTTCAGGGGAAAACTCACATATAGGCATTGATATGATAGACAATGACCAAGGATCCAGCAGCCCCAGCAATGATGAGGCAGCGATGGCAGTTATCATGAGCCTTTTGGAAGCAGACGCCGGGCTTGGTGGCCCAGTTGATTTTAGTGACTTACCATGGCCCTTATAGATGCTGCCCATAAGCTTTGACAACGGAATATATCAAAGTGCATTATAGGTGGAGTTCTCCAATCTGTGAAGCTTGCTGAATTGTTTTGGTGTTTTAAGTTGATAAGCCATATCAGAGAACAGTCATACTTCTCCCGTGTGTACTTTCTGACCAAGTGGAGATGAATTTGCAATGGTGTTCCTATCATTTTTGTTAGCTGTGTATAGCTTGCATTAGTTGTATATTTTGGGTATTGTTTTTTTTTTGTGTTGACTTTTTTAAAAAAAAAATCACTGTGCAAATTAAGCACTAGCATCACTGGTAGCTTTTATATGCAAATGTCATTTCAGCTATATGGTGTTTTTACACTACAGAGAAAGTCCCTATGTGGATAAGGAATATTTCTTATACTAATATATCAAAGCTGTTTCTTGTAAGATCCTTTACTATAAATATTGTTGAAGTGTAATGTATTAGACAGTTAAATATTTTTAAAATAAAATGTTTTCTTTGTTCTAAATTGGAGTTACTTTGTAAAGTAGGTTTCTAGATGAAATTCATAGTATTAAAAATAGCAAGCTTTGGCTGTTTTTTGCAACTTGGTTGACTTACCTAACAAGCCAAATCCAGGATGAATATAGTTTACTATTTGCAATGTAATCTATGGGAGTGGTGTGGTGGCCTAGAGGTGGAGTTCTCGCCTCACAGTCAGGCTGTGAGTTTGATCCTTGGTAGAGGCAGATATTTTTCTCTTTCGGCACAATGAGAATATACCTGCTGATCAAAGTTCCGCATTGGTGACCTGAAGGACATCTGGCCATTTAATACTCTGCCAGCTCTATTCAGTTGCTCAGACTCCACCCCACAAGGGATTATGGGGTGGGTAAAAGATTATGATGATTTGCAATGTAACCTATCAACTGGAATTTGAGTGGGTATATTGTATGCGATCCATAGATTTGTAACACCATAGAAATACTTGAATTGGGTAAACTTTTTTTTTAAAGGAAAATTTTCTTCCTTCCTTCCCTTCTCCAACCCAATATATGCAAGAGCTTGGACCTTGTCTTGCTTGCTTTGCTCCTCTTTCTTTCTACATCTGGCAAAATAAGAGTATAAGTCACAGAACAATGATGCTTAAGTGCGGTGCTATTTGGAAAATGTAGATTGCTCCAGGAACCAATTAAGTCTCATCCTAGAAGATAAACTGTCCTACTAAAAACCAACAGAATACCTGAGGCATACATCAAACACGATTGTTTTGGGGGTAGGACCATACTGAAACAGAGCATAGTTAATACAGTTATTATAGTATTAGTTAATATTCATAGTTTAATGGTTTCCTTATTGAAATGGAAGGAGAGTAAAGGGAGTTGAATGAGACAGGAGTGGGAGAGTGTTGGACCGTTTGCTGCTGCAGATGATTTCCCAAGTATTGGCTGAGCGATTGCCGCTCATTTCCAGAGTGAATGACCACTATGCCTTGTTAAGAGTCCTGTTCTTGCTAACCTACCTGCTGCAGCTCCAGGGGATATGTAACAACCCAGTTCCAGAAAAACAAGTTCAACAAGCAAGGAAAAAGGAATTTGAGCAGAACAAGTCAAGAGGAAGACACAGGGAAATGCTCTTTCTTTTCTCTCTCTTTTCCTTAGAAGTAGGTAATCTTTAGCTAGAAAGATAACTTTTGAGAACTTTGCATGTGTTCAGCTAAGGAAGTTGATAGGGAAGGCTCCAAGCAACAAGTGAGGGAAGCATCATTGTAACTTGTAAAGGATATGTAGCCTTTCTCCCATGAGCTGTTCAGAGCATCCAGTGATAGGAAGGTGCTTCAGTCCCTTCTAGGAAGGCTGGGCTTAAACTTGAGGACACTCCTTCTCCTCCACGAGACTCCTCCTTAGCGTCCCCAGTTTTAGCTCAGCCCTTCTTCAGACAGGTTGTGTTATTTTCCTGGTCGGAACAGAACACTGGCGATTTAGCTGATTTATTTCTCAGTTCAGGTAAAAGCATAATTTCTGTCACTACCTACCACCACCACCCCTGGGAACCTTCAAAAGTCATTTCGCTCAGGGTTTTTTTTTTACGTTCCAGCCTCCCGAAGCTAAAGCCTCATAAACGCGGAGGGTTATCTTTCCAATCTGCCCTGAGGCTAAAAGCCTCTCATTTCTGAGACGCTGCCTTAAACTTCTAAACAAGGAGGCTTATCTCTCCGATCTCCCAGCCGGCTGAGTAAATGCTCTGTCCCTTCACGGTTTGAAGCTTCAATTTAAAAGTGCAGCCTTTTTCCCTTTTTATTACCAGGCTTTCCCCGCAGAACACCTCAGGGCAGGGAATTAGCCCCTGCACCTTCCCGCTGAATGGTTTTGCTTTCAGCAGGCCGGGTGGTGATAGCTGCTTTCGTGTTCATTCTGCTATGAGGCGGCCATTTTAAAGGCTGCATGGTTAAATTTGCTGAGTAATTGTTGCTGTCTGTGAGGCAAGTTACCCAACAAGGTTTCCCTTCTTGGGGACCAAGAAGGGGGGGTCCCTACCACCAGTCCACTGGATGATAGAGGACTTGAACTGCTGGATTCCACAAGCAATAAGTGCAGCTAAACTGATCTAATTATCATTTACAGACCTCTGTGCCCTCATATAGGTGCCGGGTCTGGAGTGGGGTGTTCTGGTCTCCATATTTGATATTACAAGTACTTTATTCAAAAATTGACTTGATTGACTTAAATTCTACAAATCTTTAAGTGATGATAGATAGATAGATGATAGATGATAGATAGATAGATAGATAGATAGATAGATAGATAGATAGATAACAAAGCAAAACAGAACAAGGAGACAACATTTGCTAAAGGCATCGGGGAACTATTTATTCCAGGATCCCCTGCCCCTTAAAGGAGCAGGCCTCTAGGTGTTCCAGGCACCTAATTTCATAGCCTCTTTCCATTGCTAATCTATCAAAGGCATTACCATGGCCAGCAACTACAACTCCAGATCTAGACTAACTGCTAAAAATAGAGATAAGTCCACGGAGGCCAAAAACACCTCTAAGGCAGCAGAGAAAGATGCACGCAGACGCCATCAGGCATTAGAAAGGCAGGTGGAAAAACGTACACGAGCAGCTGCACAGCCCACCTCTTCACCACACATCATACCCTCTACCTCACAGGCCCAGAACCCTCCAACCCCCCTCTGGATTTATCCAGAAGGAGCAGCATATCGATACAACCTCCCCAGGAGGCTCTTTCTAACATTCTCTTCCCAAGGAGGGCCCCAGAGGCAACATTCATGCCAACCGCCTCAGACAGAAGGAGGAACTTCCAGAGGAAATCCCTGCCAACATGAGGGCGTGGATGGAGCTAGCTATCTAGAAGGACATATCAGCAGGCGTCCAACAAGCTATTCAGGCAGGTCGAACACCCTCAGCTTCGGTTTGTGGATTTCTTTCTGAACGATATCTGGGCATCGCAGATCTACATCTTCATCAGGTACTACCCTCCCCTGCAGAACTATTTTTTGCCCACTGTCAGAGACCCTCAGTACACACAGGATATGGGAGATCAAGGGGATCAAATGGATCAAATGGAGGAGGGGTCGGTACACACCATTGACCAGGTATTGTCAGAGGTGGATCCGCAAGAAAGGGGGATGTCTGATGATGAAGGCCTCTCACCTGACCTCTCCGTATTTACAGGATTATTCCGTCCACAATTATTTAAATCCCTGCGGTTTAAAGCCAAGAACATCGCACGGCTGGATAATACGGGTACCCCTCCCCCACCAAATATTCCAGGGGAAGCAGAGGATCTCATATTCTCTCAACCAGTCACTGAGGCAGAGGTTATCCCTGTGCCACATGTTTTCCAATTTAGTGCAAAAACAATGGGCTGCAGCAGCCTCATATCCCACTCCCCCAGGACATGATAAAAAATACTATAATTTGGCACCTGAGTTCTTATCTTTTCTAAACACTCCGGAGCTTATCATTGCGCTTGCATCTTCCTAAGCCATCTCAAGTGAAGCTGAAGAGGCTCTCAAGCCTGAGGAAAAGAGGGCAGAACTAGCCTTCCGCTGGGCACACGTGTCAGATGCATGGGCCATCAGAGTGGCCACAGCCACCTCCTTTTTCACCAGATCATCTCTCAGATGGCTCCGCCACCTGAGGGATACCATTCCAGCCTCAAACATTAGGGCACATCAACATGTGGCTAAATTAATTGCCGCTGCAGAGTTTTTGGCAGATGCTACCTTCAATGTAGTTAAATTTTCCTCTAGGGCCATCGCTTCCCAAATTGTGGCTAGAAGGTTACTTTGGCTCAGGCATTGGCAGGCAGACGTCAAGCACAAGTGGCAGCTTGCCTCAGCTCCCATCTTGGAGAACAAACTATTTGGCAGTGCGCTTGAACCCCTCCTAATTGAAACCAGAACCAAAAAGAAAATTCTTCCCTTTTTCGTTGATCAGAGTCCAGATCACCACAGCCCTTTCGTAGGGGTTCCTTTCGCCCCTTCTACCAACCCTACTATCCAAGATTTCAAAGACAGCCTGTATTCAGACAACAGACAGAATTGAACCTGGGGACAGATATTGAAGGGACTCCATCCAAGGAGACAATTTCGAGGAACAGGATCTAAGCCTTCTGCAGGTCCAAGTAACGACCACAATGAGATTCCCATTGGCAGTCACCTAAAAATGTTTGCTGACCAATGGGACTCCTCTACCACTGGCGCATGGGTCAGGAACACAGTACGATTTGGTCTGGCACTGGAGCTCAGCTCTACCACCACCCCCGGATTTTTTTTATGAAGTCCCCAATTTCCAGGGACGCAGGAAAAAGGGTTTCTTGTGGACACAGCCATAGCACATCTACTAGAGATCCAGGCCATACAACCTGCCCCTCCTAATCAAAAAGGTTTTGGTTTTTATTCACACCTCTTCGTGGTCCCTAAAAGTTTGGGGGGATGGAGGGCAATCCTGGACTTAAAATGTCTAAACCATTATTTAGTTTACCGAAAATTTAAAATGACCACTCTCCAAGCCATCTTACTCAGCATCAGAAAAAACGATGTCTTTACCTCCATAGACCTCACGGAAGCTTACTTACATATCCCAATTTGGCCCTCACATTTCAAATTCCTTCATCTCTGTTATAACAATGTTCATTACAAATATATTGCTCTCCCATTTGGCCTAGCTTCAGCTCCCAAAACTTTTACAAAGGTCTTGGCAGCATCAGTCAGAGATAGGTCCATCCAACTTCAATGCTACTTGGATGACATTCTTATTCTGGCATTTTCCATCAATCAAGCAAATTCGAACACTCAAACTACACTTGTAACCCTACAATAACATGGGTTCTCAATCAATTGGTCAAAAAGTAATTTAACACCCTCTACTAGACTCATTCACCTGGGTGCTATCATTGACACCCTGGAAGGCAAAGTTTTCCTCTCCCCTGACAGACAAGAAAGCATTAAAGATTTGGCTCAACAGATCAGAACTCTTAAGAAAGTACAACTATGTCTCCTTTCTAAATTGCTCGGAAAAATGATTTCTTGTATTTCTATTATCCCTTGGGCCCGGTTCCATGCAAGAACCCTGCAATGGTTCCTGTTGCCATACCAACACACTGGGAGAGACAATGCCAGGACTTGCGTAAAAGTTCCATCAACCGTTCTCAGGTCTCTACGATGGTGGACATGACCCGAAATCAACAAGGAGTGCCCTTTCAAGGATCCACACAGGTTGATTGTTACAACAGACACCAGTCTAGTGGGATGTGGGTCCCACTTCCAATCACATACAGCGCAAGGCCTTTGGATGGATTCAGAGAAGGTACATAATATCAACTGGCTAGAACTGAGAGTGACGTACTTGGCACTCCAACAATTCCTCCCGCATCTCCATTGCAAACACATGCTTGACAACATAACTACAAAGGCCCATATCAACAAACAAGGGGGCACTCATTCCAATCTACTAATGAGGGAAGCAGAAAGACTATTCCTGTAGGTCGAAATCCATCTTCTCTCTCTAAAGGCAGAGCGCATATCTGGAGTAGCGAATGTACAAGCGGATTGGCTCAGCAGAGCCACGTTAGACCAATCAGAGTGGCGTTTGGACCCCAAGATCTTTCTGGAGGCTACTCAGAGGTTGGGCCAACCGGTAGTTGACATGTTTGCCTCTCCACTCAATGTACAGCTTCCCCAATTCATTTCTCGTTACCCATCGCAGGGAGCGGAGGACATGAACGCCCTCAGATGTCACTGGCCCACTGGACTGCTGTAC